AAGGTCACAGAGGTCATTGAATACATGAAAATGCACTTGTCTTGTGATAATTCAAGAACGATTCCACATATCAACTTTAAACCTTGGTCATGTATGCAGATGGGAAGCCCAATGATCCATGCAAATTTTTAGGGTCATGATGTCAAAGGTCAAAGGTCATAGAAGTCATGAAATACATAAAAATGGCTTTTTCTAGGGATAACTTAAGAGCAGTTTGACATATCAGCTTGAAACCTTGGTCGTGTGTGCAAATGAAAAGCACACTGATGCAAGCAAATTTTGGAGTCATAAGGTCAAAGGTCACAGCGGTCATTTTATACATGAAAATAGTCTGTTCTCGCTAAAACTTATAATACGTTTAACGTATGAACTTGAAACATTGGTCATGTATTCATATAGGAGGGATAATGATCTGATAAGATTTATGGATCTATTAGGTAAAAGGTCACAGGGGTCATTGAATACAGGAAAACAGACCATGGTTTAGCTTATCAACTTGAAACCTTGGTCCTTTATGCAGATGGGAAGTACAATTATCCATAGGCCATGAGGTCAAAGGTCACATAGGTCATTTTATACACGGAAATGGCCTTTTCTCGCAATAGCTCATAATTTGTTTGACAAATAACTTTTATCATGCGAGGATATGGGAAGGACAAGGGTCTGATTAGATTTTAGATTTATGAGGCCATCGGTCACATATGTCATTGAAAACATGAATGTTCAATTCATGTTCTTGCTATTATTAGTATGCAGTATAAAGGAAGTCATGTGTTAATCTTATTCAGTTAAATATTTATTTCTGATTGCGTGATATAAATGGGAAAGATAATTCTGATCACGTGATGGCGGAGGCATAAATTCCGACTGCGTGCGGTCGAGGATTCATCTAGTTAATCCAGAAAATAATGTTGTTCTCTCTCTCTCTCTCTCTCCAGAGCTCTCAAATGAGAGGGATGGACCTCCTGGGTCTATGGAGCCAAAAAGTAGCCATCCTGTTGCAAAAAGGTCAAAAGGTAATAATAGCATGTAGTTCAAACTTTGCTTGTAGTCCTATTTAAACCCTAATTTAGCCGGGTTTTGGGGGTCTTCTTTTGCCAGAGGTTGATTTAACTCCCCCCCCCCCTCCCATCTTCAGATCTTGGCTACTGGTTGCACGATCACTGCAAAAATCTGCATGCAAGTAGAATATAATGTAACTACGCAATCTAAGAGTTAACATCACAAGCTATGTGCATGCCGAATTTCGGCGCGATTGCGCGATCAACGGCCGAGATCAGAAGGGGGGACCCAATAACCCCCCCCCCCCCCATGGACTGAAGTGATCGAAATATCCCAATGGGATTAGGGTTAATTGCATGTACATGTTTGATATGTGACAATGTACTTTAGAAGGAATTGTGAAAATTTCTTGATTTAGATGACTTTTTGCATCACATGAAGTTGTCCTTAGGTTATCAAATATGCACATGCTTTCTTTTCACTCTCCTATAAAATCTCTTTTCATTTACAGCGGAACGCATTACCTGGACAGCAGCACAACACCATGCTGTAGACACATTTTCAAAAGAAATTACAGGACATTCCGAATTCCAGGGAAAGAAGAATGTGAGGAATGTAGAAATAAGTATCCTGAACTTGCAACACTACCCTGGACTAAGATTAAATACAGGGTTTATAACATTATTAAACAAAACAAACTAAAATCCTATTGAATCCATCTTACCTCAATGAAGAAAAGTGTACACACACACATGTATGTATATAAATATGATTTATTGCACTCCATGCAAATCATGAGGTTTGATTCAATCACAAGCAAAAACAAATAAATGAATAAAATGATAATAATTCAATAATTTATATAAATGTCAGATAATACAAAGCAAAAAGGTTTGTAATTAATATGGATCACCTTGATAAAAGTTATAGCTGCAAGAATGGTAATTTGTATAACTGCTGTTGAATTGTCAAACCATGAACAAACTTTCTACACACAATCGGAAATTGCACTTGAGAAGAAAAAAAACGATACAATAAATTCATTGCTGAAATAAAACAAACATAAACATTCCTTTATAAGAAATATGGATGTGATTGACATTCAATCTGCATCGTACAGCATGGACTGCAATGTATTATAACAAAGAGAATATGCGTGTGTGTCAGCATTTCTTTTATAAGCAAAGTGTATAAAGGTGGAAAGTGTGCACATGTGCAGAATACTCCATCCACATTTTATAGCTGTACTGTGCATTACTTGAAATTAATATTTTTTCCTGACCTATTTGATTTCTATCCCAAGTTATGTGTAAGAGATCAAAATAAATATTCCATATTTCCACGATATTCCAGGAGGAAATCTCCCTTTGAAAAGGGTTTATTTGTCACAGGTCCATGTCCTAAAACTGGAGAAGGAAAATATTTTGTTAAAGTTAAAAAAAAAAGTAAAAAAAAAAAAAAAAACTTATGGCAAAATACCATGTAATCATGGTCATACGAAGCAAATGTGTGTGTGTGGGGGGGGGGGGGGTTACCTCCAGAAAATGCTTAAAATTGACGTTTCTTTTTATTACTGAATGTCTGCACAATCGACCACAACCAAATCTTTCAATATCACATTAACAAATGCAGAAACATGCTGCTAATTTAAGGATTTTTTACAATCTTAGTGATTATATTCATTTTGAAAATTCTGTGTTTAATGATCGATAAATGATCACAATGATCAGACTTTGTTTAGATTATCATTTAAGAAAAATGAAGAGGTGATTTCTGAGATTTTGTACATGTAAGAGAAAAGTTATTTATGCATTATGAATGACTAACTGCATGTATGTCAAGTTCCTGTTGTCAGTGTTGAGTTTTATTAAAAACAAATCTTTGAAAATGATCTACATGTGTACTTGAAGTGTTTAAATTTGCTTGTATCTGAATGATGTAAAGTGGAACCTTGTTGAGATAAACTCCTCATGATCGCTAAAAGAGATAAATACCTGTGCAAAATAAACAGATAAAGTTTATATGTCCTCATAAGTTTATACAAACAAAGACTGTGTTTCATTTCCAACACATGTTGTCCTCGTACATTTATGCAAACTTGAGCTGTGTTACCTATTCAATACAATGTCCTCATAAGTTTACGCAATCTTGATCTGTGTGAAATACCTGTGCAAAATAAACAGATAAAGTTTATATGTCCTCATAAGTTTATACAAACAAAGACTGTGTTTCATTTGCAACACATGTTGTCCTCGTACATTTATGCAAACTTGAGCTGTGTTACCTATTCAATACAATGTCCTCATAAGATTGCGCAAACTTGGTATGTGTGAAATACCTGTGCAATAAGTCCTCGTGTGTTGCTGCAAACTTGATTTGTGTGATGTCCTCATAAGTTTACAGAAACTTTATCTGTGTTGATATGTCCTCATAAGTTTATACAAACAAAGACTGTGTTACATTTGTAACGCATGTTGTCCTCGTACATTTATGTAAACTTGAGCTGTGTTACCTATTCTATACAATGTCCTCGTAAGTTTACGCAATCTTGATCTGTGTGAAATACCTGTGCAAAATAAACAGATAAAGTTTATATGTCCTCATAAGTTTATACAAACAAAGACTGTGTTTCATTTGCAACACATGTTGTCCTCGTACATTTATGCAAACTTGAGCTGTGTTACCTATTCAATACAATGTCCTCATAAGTTTACGCAATCTTGATCTGTGTGAAATACCTGTGCAAAATAAACAGATAAAGTTTATATGTCCTCATAAGTTTATACAAACAAAGACTGTGTTTCATTTGCAACACATGTTGTCCTCGTACATTTATGCAAACTTGAGCTGTGTTACCTATTCAATACAATGTCCTCGTAAGTTCACGCAATCTTGATAAGTGTGCGTGGTTGACCTCTGTCGAATGCTGAAATATGACATTTTAACATTAGAGAAAGCCACCTCAGACGTATACCAAAACAAGAATCATGTCCTCTGATGTATAGGTCTATGATAAATGTTTAAACTTAAAAAAACGCATTCAATGTTGTGAGCGTCCTTTAAAGCATTCTCTTTTTTAGGGAGTCTTTTCACCATTATGTCCATTAGAGCTAGATAACACCTGTCCTCAAAAGAAGGTAGTTTACCATGGTCCTCGGACATAATAGGCGTGTATGTATGCGTGTGTGTGTGTGTGTGTGTGTGTATTGGGTTTTTACAGACGTGTACGTGTATCAATCGGATATGATTATTTACGTCTGGGGAACGACCTTCATAAAACATCATCATCCGAAAGACGTGACTCAGTTTCTTAGTGTACATGCACATTGTAGTCTTTTATTCAGATCAAGGATAGATGGGGGGGGGGGCACAACTGATCTACATGTACATGTACATGCATGCCCGATCCCTTTCCCTTTTTGAAACCGTAGTGGCATGCCATTAACCTTAGTGGCAGCATGCCATTAGTACAAAAATCCAAGGAAGGAATGAATATTTGAAGGAATTAACAGATCCAGAACAAATCTGTACTTTGATTAATATATCAATTTCAGTCACTCAATAAAAATGCAATTTTTAAAAAAATAATCATATGAAATGTGTCTGATATCTGTTACAAATCATGTGTGTGTAATTTTTCTGCTATGATGCAAATCAACTTATTACTTACCAAATTTGTGTTGCCCCGCCCCTATTAACATGCAGTTGTTTCTGAACTAACCAAAATGGGATGGCCCTCATCATAGGTTTAGAAATGGGATTGACTGAGAGTTACACCTACACGTATGTACTGCATGTAGCTCTGGTAATTTCACAAAAAATACTTCAATATCACTGTGAGAAAAGTGCACTTTTTTTTACCTCACCAAATCCTAATAGAGCTCCTGCGAATAGGAAAGTATTTTTGATTCTGTTGCCTTTAAAAGGTTTAAGGAGGCAGTTGTCCTTGAACTTTAGAACCCAAGCCTGCATTCTGAGAGAACAGTGACTATTCTGACCTTGGATAATCGTTCCATCGTCTGTTAGAAGAGCAGCTCCGACTCTGAAGTTGCTGTACGGACAGAAGGCATTATTCTTGGCCTCGTTACTCTTTGTGATCAGCTCCTGGATAACTTCTGAAATTCACAAAATTTCACACGAGGGTCAATATAGACTAATATCAATGCGAGGAAGGGTCTGATTTGAAAATTTTGTTGTCTTCTTCAAACTCAAAGTACAAGAAAGATACATAATGTTATTTCATTAGTCGATCATAGTTCATACTCGTAAGTTTTCTGTATTCAAACATATGTACATGTATTGCAGCAAAATGGCCCTAATAATCAAACCTAGTGTCACTATAGACCGAAATTTTTTGTCTCTTTCGTTCGTTATCCTCTGATTTGGGTAGGGTCGGCGCCTCTAAAGGGTCGGCTCATTTAAAAAGAGGAGTCGGCCCTATTACCCAAATCAGAGGCTAACGAACGAAAGAGACAGACATTTTCGGTCTAGTGTCACTCATGATAACTGATAGCCTAGGGGATCTGGCACATCTAACAGTAACATACTAACAAGTGTAGACCTAGGCCTAATAATACCGGTATGTGTGTAATAGATCAAACACTTATTATAGTGGCGCTTATTTGACCCGTAACTCCGGCGTGGAGATACCCTACTAAAACATACCCAAAATGAAGTAAATATTCATCAAATGTCCAAATAAAGATCATGAGTTAAAAGTTGTTATGTTTATTACCTGTATCGTGTCAATTTTCTTGTTATTTTGGAGTACTTTTCTGATAAACGTTGATATTAGTATACACTTTTTCACAGGTTTCACGGCAAACCGCTGCACAATACAAGTGAATACCGATGGTGTGGGTTGAGGGCAGGCGCGCGCCTGTGTGAAGTTATCTACCGTAATGTATCCTCATTACGGTAGATAACTTCACACAGCTGCACAGGCGCGCGCGCGCCCGCAATTAACCCACACCATATCCCTTACAAAAAAAATCTATGATATTCCTATGGTACGGCTCTATGGTGAATGGTATTTCTATGATATATTATATGGTAGAATATATTTCTATGGTATACCACACAATTGCTGAATGGTGGAGTTCTATGGTCAATGGTATATCATTGATGCCGTCCTATGGTGTATGGTATTTCTATGATATATTATATGGTAGACTATATTTCTATGGTATTTCTGTTGAATGGTATCCCTATGGTGGAGGATATTCAGTGGTAGCTCTATGGTGGATGATGACTTTATGGTATATCTATGGTGGTTATGTGACGCTATGGTGGCTCTAAAGTGAATGGTAGATCTATGGTAGCTCTATGGTGGCTGTATGGTGTATGGTATTTCTACGGTATGTTATATGGTAGAATATATTTCTATGGTATTTCTGTTGAATGGTATCCCTATGGTGGAGGATATTTCAGTGGTAGCTCTATGGTGGATGATGACTTTATGGTATATCTATGGTGGTTATGCGACTCTATGGTGGCTCTAAAGTGAATGGTAGATCTATGGTAGCTCTATGGTGGCTGTATGGTGTATGGTATTTCTACGGTATGTTATATGGTAGAATATATTTCTATGGTATTTCTGTTGAATGGTATCCCTATGGTGGAGGATATTTCAGTGGTAGCTCTATGGTGGATGATGACTTTATGGTATATTAATGGTGGTTAGTGACTCTATGGTGGCTCTAAAGTGAATGGTAGATCTATGGTAGCTCTATGGTGGCTGTATGGTGGGGTATGGTGTATGGTATTTCTATGGTATGATATATGGTAGAGTATATTATATGGTATTTCCGTTGAATGGTATATCCCTGTGGTGTAAGATATTTTAGCAGTAGCTCTATGGTGGATGATGACTTTATGGTATATGTCTAGTGGTTAGTGACTCCATGGTGGCTCTAACGTGGCACTTTTTACATAAAAAGGGCCCCTTTACTGTAAAAAGTGCCCCTATTATTTTTTTTAAAGTGCCCCTTTTCCTTCGATAAGTTCCGGTTTTCCTTTGCAATAAGTGTCCATTTTCCATTCTCATAAGTGCCCCTTTTCAGATACGAGAAGTGCCCCTTTTCACTTTTGATAAGTGCCCCATTCACCTCTGATAATTTCCCTATTCAAATCTGAGAGGGGCCTTTCCCCTTTTAATAACTACCCCTTGTTTAACTCGGATAAGCGCACCTTATATTTTTCCATGTCCTTTCCTTTCTAACAAGTGCCCCCATTTAAAAGAGAGCCCCTTCCCTTTATCATAAATGCCCCCTTTTCATCTATGAAAACAGTTCCTTTTCATTCTTAAGTCCCTCTTCATTCTCATAGTCCCGTCCCATCTCTAGTAAATGACCCTATTAAATTCTGAGAGGTACTCGTTTTATTTTTGACAAGTGTCCCTTTTCCTCCTAATAAGTGCTCTTTTCATCTTCAATAACTGCCCCTTTTATTTTGCCCCATTTAAAAGAGAGCCCCTTCCCTTTATCATAAATGCCCCCTTCCCTTCCTAATAAATGCTCTTTTTCCTTCTTTTAAGTGCCCCATCCCCTTCCCATAATTACCCCCTTTTCATCTCTCATAAGTGCCCCGTTTATCTTGACATGTGCCTCTTTTCTTTTTAATAATAGCCTGCACTTCCCCTTCTCATAAATCCCCCCCCCCCTTCCCCTCGTATTAAATGCCCCTATTAAAAACTGATCGGTGCCCCTTTTCGTACAACAAATGAACATTTCCCCTTATTATTAGTGCCCCTTTTTCATTCTCATAAGTGCCCCTTTTCTTTTCACCTCAGATAATTACCCTTTAACAATGATACGTACGTGCCCCATTTTCACCTTCTGATAATTACCCATTGTAATTTGACATGTGCTCCTTTTTTTTTTCTAATAAGTGTCACCCTTTTCGATAAGTGTCCCCTTTTCCTTTCATCACGTGCCCCTAATTTCCAGCTACTATAAGAGCAATATCACCCAAAGCACACCCGCATTTCTCTAGATGTTATAATTATGGTACTTATCAAAGGTCTTTTCAGTCTTCTGTTATGATAATGTAATAGACCCATCAGGATTGGGTTTTTCTTCTTTATAATTGATGTAATTTTTCGCACTGCGACCTCACAAATCTTATTTATAAAGATAAAAAAAATATTGAAATTATCCCTGATAATCTAATCACAATATAGGGGGTATATACAAATGTTTTTTTTTTAAATATATATTTTCGCTTTGAGATTTCCCTTTGTAGGTGCCCTATTTATTTTCTCCAGAAAGTGCCCTTTTTGTTGGTGCTTCCCCCCCCCCGGCCCCCCCCCCCCCACTTTGGAAGTCGCTCCACTGCCTCTGTTTGCACTCAATTAGTCTCAATCAATTAAAGAAATCATTAAATAAAAAATTCTAAACCAAATTGTAACAAGTAATGTATATCAGCAGAAAGTAGATAACAAGGGCTGTTTGCTGCCACCTTGTGCCCAAGATTTGAATAACTCTTCTAGCCGTTGGTCTCCAATTTCTACTCACTGAAAATGCTTCGCAAAACTCCAAAATATGTGAGGAAGAGGAAGGTGTTCAAAGGAGATCAATACCAGATATTACAGAAGAGTAACATGAATGCTGGAGAGGTGCCAGAAGAACTAACAGCTAATTCAGAGATCGAGGAAGCTTTCCCTGAATAAGTGTTTGGACAGCCCTATTTTTGGCCCTGGTCCCACATGTGAAGATCCGCGTCATTAGTGGCCCACAACTTGCAGCTGCATTGCAAAAGGCTCACGTGTGTCTGGGAGGTATGTACTTACTATCAAACAATATTTTTAGTTTGCAAACTGTTACTTTGAGATTGTATTGCATGCTTAAGGGGTGAATGGCTCAAAAAGCCAAATTAAATGATTAAGAATAGTGTAAAGGAGGGGGTAATCGACCATCACCAGTTTTCGGCCGATCCGTTGGATGCATGGTAAAATCCCTGTAAAATCCATCGCATAACAGCATATCATATATCCCACACATACCATACCATGCCAGAGTCACTGAAGAACCACATTTGCAATGGAAAATATATCCTAAAATATCACATTTTAGCGATGTAATCGGCGATCCCGCTCCCCGAATCTGAAAAATTAAGTATCTTACGCGTGTAAGGAATATGGGTACCATAAAATGAGCTTTATTTCAAGTATTTTTCAGATTTAGAGTCCGATTTTGTGTGAGTCGCAAGCTCAAAAGCATCTCATCGCATGTATTTAATCAATGCAGCCGGATACCGCAGCGCACACACGATATCTCTGTCTAATTCAGATTCAAATTTCTGATCACCGCAAAGGTAGTTTTTCGGCACGGGAAGCTCCGGCTTGGGATACCTGCTCCGGCCGCTAGTGCTATAGATCAGTGGGGAAACGCATGGCGCGCTTGCTTGCTTGCTATTGACTTTGTACATGCGGCCGAAAACTACCTCCGAAACAGTGAAAATTGAAATGAATGTTGTCATGGCAATTCATGATTTTTTTTTTGGGATTCTTTCTTTGTTTAAATAATAATAGTATTTGCTTCATGATTTGAACAAGAAATGATAATAAATAGGAAGTAAAGAGTAAAACAAATAGGATTTTGTCTTAAGTGGCCGAAAAACCCCTCCTTTACTCTATGGTGAATCGAAGTGGGGGCATCGGAATTGTCGTGAAATCTGTGAAAATGTGTATTTGTGTAATATATTACATGTATGTCATAACTAGCACTTTGTTATTATTTGGGGATTGTGCTTTTCAAAATATTTTCCCTGTTCCATAAAGTGTTTTGGATATCTTTTACAGGGCATCTCATTCCTCTGGAGAATTTGTCAAAGAGGAATGGGTTGAACTGCGCCATGGTCCTTGGTTGCTTCATTTGCAAGAAGGAGAGGACATTCTCTTCATCAGAAAATGAATGCGAAGGACGTGGAAAGTCTGCAGAAATAAACCGCAGAGCTACTCTGGCAGCAACGGAGGTTGGTTTGGCACGGGATAGCTTGTGCGACTTGCTGACCATCCTCGGAACAGCCCCACTAGTCGAAGCCCCTAGCTACAACAGGCACATAGCCACTTTATCTTCCTTATCCCAAGAGGTAAGTCACCAGCCTTGTGTTTTCTTCATTACATTATCTTAGCTGTACGTACATTTAATCCAAACATATTTTTATTTCTTAGTTATGGTCGATAGTATAATACATGTACATCAATATCCCTTCTTGTCAAATCAAGGGATGAAAATTAATCAAATCTAAATATTTGTAATAGGGTCTAATAAGTAAGGGGCCTGAGGGAACTTGAAATTTACTTGTTATTTATTACAAACTCTTTTTTTTTTGCAGACCAGTAAGGATCAGAAGAAGAAGGTGGCAGCATGCCTACGTCAAAGGGCCATGGACAAGGATCTGACCATCAGGGAAAATGATCATGTGGACGTGGCAGTGCCCTACGATGGAACATGGCATAGACGAGGTTACACATCGAATCATGGGGTGGGGGTAGTGATACCGATCGATACAGGGGGGATTGTTTGACACAGAGGGTCTATCAAAATCATGTAAACAGTTTGAGTATAGAAAGGGTTGGGTCTTCAGTGTTCTCAGCCAGAGGGACCTTGATCGCCTTCAGAGACTCCAAAAATGAGCAGCAAGGCTTGTATTTTCTGCTCCTCTTCGAACTCACATACAACCTCTTTGACTTGAACTTCATTGTACATGTTTATACAATGTTTTAGAACATTTCTGTGCTGCAACTCAGTGCCTTAGTTTTTATTGTACATGTTTATATATTTTTAACTTGCCTTTCATTTTAGTCATGTTTACATACACACTATATATGACATTTTAGTTATTTAGAGGAACTAGGGTGATATATATGTGGGTATTTATTACACCTTAGTAGAATAAGTCCAAGTAATATGTGTTGCAATTATGAACTTGCCTTTCATTTGAGTTTTTATTGTACATGTTTATACAAAGTTTTAGAACACTCCTGTGCTGCAACTCAGTGCCTTAGTTTTTATTGTACATGTTTATATATTTTTAACTTGCCTTTCATTTTAGTCATGTTTACGTACACACTGTATATGACATTTCAGTTGTTTCTTTTTAACTTGCCGATTATTTATAGGAACTAGGGTGATATATATGTGGGTATTTATTACATCTTAGTAGAATAAGTCCAAGTAATATGTGTTGCAATTACGAACTTGCCTTTCATTTTAGTTTGTAGTGTACATGTTTATGTGATATATTTTTTACTTGCCTTTTATTTTAGTTTTTAGCATATGTACATGCATACAACTTTTGATATAAACCAAATACATCCTGCCACTTTCATTCAATTCATTTTTTTAATAAGCATCATGTGTGTATTGTAAGTTAACATTTAAGTTTAGATTTCTCAAAAGTTCAATATATTATAGTCACCATTCTGTGTACTATAGAATGCACTACAGCCATCATTCTGCTAACCATAGATCAAGAACCAAACTACCATTCTGAATATACCATTTCAAAATGCTACAATTAAGCGTAACATTTTGTTGCGTATTTTGAATGGTAGTGAATGGTAGATGAATGGTGGCTCTATGGTAGATGAATGGTGGCTCTATAGTAGATGAATGGTGGCTCTATGGTAGATAAATGGTGGCTCTATGGTAGATGAATGGTGACTCTATGGTAGATGAATGGTGGCTCTATAGTAGATGAATGGTGGCTCTATGGTAGATGAATGGTGGCTCTATGGTAGATGAGTGGTGACTCTATGGTAGATGAATGGTGGCTCTATGGTAGATGAGTGGTGACTCTATGGTAGATGAATGGTGGCTCTATAGTAGATGAATGGTGGCTCTATGGTAGATGAATGGTGGATCTATGGTAGATGAGTGGTGACTCTATGGTAGATGAATGGTGGCTCTATGGTAGATGAGTGGTGACTCTATGGTAGATGAATGGTGGCTCTATGGTAGATGAGTGGTGACTCTATGGTAGATGAATGGTGGCTCTATGGTAGATGAATGGTGGCTCTATGGTAGATGAATGGTGGCTCTATGGTAGATGAATGGTGGCTCTATGGTAGATGAATGGTGGCTCTATGGTAGATGAATGGTGGCTTTATGGTAGATGAATGGTGGCTCTATGGTAGATGAATGATGGCTCTATGGTAGAAGAATGGTGGCTCTATGGTAGATGAATGGTGGTTCTATGGTAGATGAATGGTGGCTCTATGGTAGATGAATGATGGCTCTATGGTAGATGAATGATGACTCTATGGTGGCTCTATGGTAGAATATGTAGGTGTGGCCTAATTTGAATAAATGAATAAATTTGTCCCAATTATTTTAATTAGTTCTATGGTAAATGAATGGTAGATATATGGTAGATTTGCTATGGTGTTTGTATGGTAATCTATGGTAGATTTGCTATGGTGTTTGTATGGTGTACCATAGAGATTTTTTTTGTAAGGGATATCGGTTTGCACTTGTGCAGCAGTTTGCTGTGAAACCTGTGAATTTGTGAAAAAGTAATAAACATAACGACTTTCAACATTTAATGAATATTTACTTCATTTTGGGTATGTTTTAGTAGGGTCTCCATGGTGGAGTTACGGGTCAAATTTTGGATAGGTTTCTAAACAAGCGCCATCATAGTTAACGTTGATCACTCTCACACTCACAGATCACTCACACCAGCAACAACTGTGCATGGTCTACTCTATTATTGTATGCAGATCACCCATCCTGACTTATGGATCCTGCTGAGTATCGTCGTCGTAGAAGATCTAGACTCTAGAAGTAAAAAAACATGTCATTAAGTAGATCTAGGGCCGGTAGGGTCTATAAGTATAAGGCCTATAGATCTAGGCCTAGATCTATACAGACATTATGTCATGATTATAACTATCACTAGTATCAGCTGATCAGTCAATGTGTCTCGATTGCGCATGCAATCAAAGTCTAAATAAAAAGTCTCACCTGGTAGATGGTCCATTGTCTAAATGTGTAGTCACTGCACTTCTCAAAATAAATGTATAATTGTCGACTTAATTCTTCTTCTTGTCCTTCCTCCGTTGGTTCCGGAGATCGGTACAGTGCACGTGCAGCTGCAGTGGCTTGATATAATTGATCGGATCAGAGAAATTGGTAGTGAGAATTAGAACTAATCAATCTTAGCTAGGTAACGTAACCAAATCTACGATAGTGCACTGAGCTGGTGAACAAATCCTGCTGTTGATTTGTTGGTCTGTAGAATTTACATAGAGATGTAGAGATCGAGATTACAATGTTTACATTTCGTTATTTTCGCAACGTGTACACATTTACTACGTGTATTCATTGACGTATTGCTCGCTGGTAACGCGCGCAATGTCTGGAGGTGTGTCATTACTGACCAATCACATCATTGCTTATGAACGATGAATTCCAACTCATGTTTACAGCTCAAAGTTTATTAGTATTTTTATGATTCTCGTCTAGGGCGCGAAGGGTCCCGGTTCAACTCTCAACAGAACCCTCATCAAGAGAGTTTTTGATATCATGTTGTTGCTTTGTTCAAATTGTGTTTACGTTACATCCCCTCTGTAATTGCCATCTTTATTTTCATTCATTTTTACCGTTCTTTAAATAAAAACAAAAGCTCTTATTTGGACTACATTATACCTCTTTCATACTAGATGAAACTCCATCCTCGGCCTGAATATATCAACAGAATACAATCTCCGTTATATACTAGACAATATAAGTGGATGGAGAGTTCTGGGGAAAAGGGAGTATAAGGAGTTATTTTGCCGGGTATAGGGCAAGGCCAACAACAAAAACAATGAGCCGGAGCTCCATGCAGTTATTAAAAAAATTCTGCACTGAAATATGTTATTGGATAAATATAAGTACATCTTCTTCTATTACGTGCTCAATATTTAACAAGGTTATTTGTACAAATTTAGAGAATGGAAAAGAAAACAAAAGAAATCAAATATAGGCCGGCCCATTTTCCTTACTTTTTTAATAAAGGGGAGGAGACGAAAAACTTTGAATTAATTTTATTTTGCCTATAGTATAATGGAAATAGAGAAATGAGAGACTGCATGGGGGCATATAATTATAGACAGTGTCTGAATGAAAGAGGAAAACTGATCTTCGTCATTTTCGTCGAGTTCTTCTTCTTCTTCTTCTTTTTCTTCTTCTTCTTCTCATTCTTCTTCTTCTTCATCATCATTATCATCATCATCATCTTCTTCTTCTTCCTCTTCCTCGTATCGTCTTCTTCTTCTTCTTTCTGCTTCTGCACCTTTTTCTTCTTCTTTTCAAAATTTTTCTTCTTCTCTTTAACTTTTTTCTCCCCCCTCCTCCTCAGCTCTGAGATCAACAGCACCAAACGTTGATGTTGTTGAAACTAGTGTTATAATGTAGGGCAAATCAAGCAAATTCAACTACTATAACAATTTTTTTTTACTATCATGAATTTTAATTATGAAACATTAATTGGCCTCTATAGTCTTTATAGGCCCCCATTGTTTATTGGTGTCCCTTTATATTTTCGTCAGGGTTTTCATCAGGGAGTCGTGAGTTTATAACTCCCCCGGGATAACTCCCCCGCGGTTTTCATTTATCATTATTTTTTAAATAAATCTTTGTATTATCATTATTTGAATTAATTACCATTATTACTATTATTATTTATTAGTAGGAGTATGACATATTGCCAGGTTACTAAACCCTGTCCTTTATTATTCGGCATCACCCTGACAAACCCACACTCATTTGGAAGATTTCTCGGAAATTTAGATGAAAAAAACAAAACAAAACGGGGTCAGCGACAGGAGGATCCGGAGCTGCGGCGCGCAACGTAAACAAGCGGTAAGCACGCGCGCAAGTTCAGTGATTGATCAAACCTGCCAGAGAGGAACTTTTGCACGTAAAGCGACTTATTTTAAGAGCGTGCATAATGTCTGTCATGTTAATTTTGTCTCCTGGAGCGGAGGAGATGGAAGCTGTCATACCCGTTGATGTCTTGAGACGGGCTGAGGTCAGTAATTATATCCTGGCATTGATCGATAGTTTAGAAAATAATCCTCCATTTATTTTGTTGTAGTCCCATATACCGAATATTGTGTAATAAGGGTGCGAGTGGCAGTAAACGAGTACGAGTTCCGACATAATAGTAACAAAGAGTTAGTGTTACCTTAGTTGGATAACGAAAATCATATACTAAATCTAAGCTAGAGAAATAAATGATGACAAAGAAGTAATGGGCTATGATGGTGGTGGGGATGATGATGATGTATGATGGTGGTGGGGATGATGGTGGTGATGATGATGGTGGTGGTGATTGGTGGTGGTGATGATGATGGTGATGGCGATGACGATGATGGTGGTGATGATGGCGATGGTGATGATGGTGATGATGATGGTGGTGGTGATGATGATGGATGATGATGAGACGGTGATGATTGGTGGTGGTGGTGCTAATGATGATGATGATGATGATGCTAGATGGTGATGATGATGATGGATGATGGTAGATGGTGATGATAATGATAATCGATGATGATAATATAGAATAAATGCAGACAAATGAATTGCTTGTAGATCTAGACTTTATTGTTGTTGTTACCAGGTCAAAGTAACCATTGCGGGACTGTTTGGCAATGATCCAGTGGCCTGTAGCAGAAATGTGACTATTGTTCCAGACATGACTTTAGATGAAGCTCTTGCACAGGTAAGCAACATTTCTTCCCCTCACCCCACCCCCTCCTTTTTTTGTACCACACATGCTGCAGATGCAATTGCAATATGGCCATTATTAAAAACTAATCATATTCTTAATTTCAAGTTTGACCCTGGACCAAACGGTATACCTAACCCTAGACAGAAATGACTGTCTGGTTTGGGGGATTTTTTAATAAAACTGACATTTGTCAACCTTCCCCATACGCAGACGATAACCCTTGCCCATGCCATACTCAAGGAGTGAGGGGATTAACTAGCTGATTTTTGAAGGAATGTGGTGAAAAGTTGAAAGCTGCCAGAGGCTCACCTTACCTAGCAACAAGTAGTCACTATGAACATGACCGACAAAGAAAGCGGACAAAATATACAGTTCCTCAGGTAGACAAAGGAACATCCCTTCACTGCTATTATGTAAAACTGTGTAGAACAGGTGAATATGCATGTGACACCTGTTCTAAACATTTTTACATAATAGCAGTGAAGAGATGTTCCTTTGTCTACCTGAGGAACTGTATATTTTCTCCGCTTTCTTTGTCCGTCATGTTCATAGTGAGTATATATATATATATATATATATATATATGCAGACTGGGTTTCAAGTACTGTAGCTATTTCATTGATAACAGTTTAGTCAAAGGTGGTAGCTACGTTCATGGTTTAATCAAATAAATCGTTGCTACATGTAGGTCCCCAGGAAAGAAACATCCATAAATTTGAATATAATAGTAAACCGGTCTAACCTCAGAAAGATTGCCTGAAACATTGCATGATTAATGAAGTGTACATTTTTTTTTTACAGGGTCCCTATGATGTCATCCTCTTACCAGGCGGTGGACCAGGAGCAAAGAATCTCTGTGAGGTTGGTTGATAAGCTCCTTAGTTTTGTATTTGTATTCATTCAACAGTACAATATGAAACACAATGTATATATACATGATATATGTAACAATTATTTCAACATAGAGTATACAGTAAATAATTCAGATACGGAAGGAGGCGAAAACCCGGAAAGCATAGCTTGAGTTGGGAACGCCCATAATAAATTAACACAGTTACCGAGAGAATATTATAGATATTATTATGAAAATTACATTTTATATAACAGAAAGTTGATGGGAAAGAACAAAAATAGTCAATGGAACAGAGAGAAGAAAAAAAAATGAGGAGAGAATTAAGTATTAGAAGGTTCACTTATAAAGAGAAAGTTACCTAAATTGGGCTATGCATGTGTCTGTGATTACATCATAAAAATAACGAAATACTACAATTTTAAAATAGACAGCGGGTACATATCATTAAAAACAAAAACAAGCAAAATCATCAAACAGACAACAGCTTGTTGTTGCCATTTAAACCCTTTCAACGCATAAGGATTAGTTAACACCCTAGCCAGCTACCCACTCATTCTTTTAGATATATAAATAACCCTTTCTATTGACATCTTTCACTGATTAAATTCTAAGAAGAGAAGGTAAGAAATAACCTGGTATATTTAAAAATCTGATTTTATTTGCCTTTCGTGACCTTTGACTGTTCTAAGAAAACAGGGAAGCAAAAAAACAGAGGCATCACATGAATTCTTTTGTTTTATGGTCATCTATATTGTCTGGAGCCAGGAGGACATTAACACATATAATTTAGCACAGATTCAACACCCTTCTGGCTCCAAACAGACGATATGATTGAGATTTATTGTATGAGAAGTTGACTCAATTTACATGTACTATTTGTTGTATAGAACTATCAAGTGCATGTACTTTGCTACGAATGCAACGATGCACAATTAATCAGAAAGTAATGCAAAATGGTACACTGAATTTTCTCCCCCATCAGCAAATCACACTATGAACATGATGGACAAAGAAAGCGGACAAAATATACAGTTCCTCAGGTAGACAAAGGAACATCCCTTCACTGCTATTATGTAAAAATGTGTAGAACAGGTTAATATGAATGTGACACCTGTTTTACACATTTTTACATAATAGCAGTAAAGGGATGTTCCTTTGTCTACCTGAGGAACTGTATATTTTGTCCGCTTTCTTTGTCCGTCATCTTCATAGTGTCAACAGAGTGTATTTGCATTGAATCTGATTCTGTCCTCTAACCTTTGACCTTTAACCTTGTCATTGTGTAGTCCAAGAAGGTTGGTGAATTGCTGAAGGCACAAGAGGAAGGCGGTCGGATCATTGCAGCTATCTGTGCAGGTGCGTTCGAAATTTTCTACCACATATGGCACTTAATGATTTAAAGCCCCTCCGTACTAGTTTGGACAGGAGGGATTAGACCTCCCTGCATGGTCACTGACAGGTGGTTATATCATCGAATCAGCTCTCAATTGACATAAGAAATAGGGGACCATGGGGGACCAATGGTCACTGATTAGGCATTGTTTGCTACGTATAGGGCGCAAGTAGCTATAAGTAGTGCAGTGGGGCTTTAACATCACCTGAGCCTGGGAGGGAATAAGTGAAATGAATCACTGTGACCCTCTGGACCCTGTTTCATGAAACTTGTTATCAATAACAAGTTACAACAACTGTTATAAGCTACTGAAATCGTGGCATCTGATTGGTTGAGAGCACATTTTTCTTTGAAATTTAGCATTTGTTATTGTTAACAAGTTTTATAAAAAACAGGGCCCAGGTCTCTTCTCCTTTCATAATAGATGGAATGTGCAGATCTGTACACAACCAGAGTTCTCTCCCCCCCCCCCCACGCACTTTGACAAAGAGTGTAGCAATTTCTGTTTTTTCTCTAAATCACTATCAAAACATTTGCTTTCTGTTTGTCTAATTTTGGAGAATAGCATTCACTCGTATTAAGCAAATAATTATTGTTGGTGAAGGTGAACTTTCACTTCTGAGGCGATCTGGATGTAGCTATCTTTCTGAAGCGCAGCTGAGGAAAGATAGCGTATTCATTCAGATCGCCGAGGAAGGGATTCAGCCATCGCCTGAAACCAAAAGGTTATTATTTGCTTTATATTCCACATCGGAAACATTTCACTTCTTCTGTCATTTTAGAGCAACAAGTCATCAATCAACAGCTAGCAAACGGTGTATAATACAAACAGTGCATGCAGTATGGCGATACTGGTGTGACCATAGTTCGCGCGTGACCATAGTTTGTGTACTAACACTAAAAGCGCTTAAAGAGAAGAGCGATACGCAGCTTATACAATTTAAGTGCGTTGCACTGAAGACAGTAGTACTATCTACACAGTGTAACAAACTTTTCTACTCCCATCAATGATGGGCGAACTATCTTTCATCACGTGATTTACTTTTGACCAATCGTAGAGCTAGATTCTTAGTATGTGGAATATAACAACTTATATCTCTATTGCATCTCTTCTATAGGACCAACAGCATTAATGACACACAACATTGGTGTGAAGAAAACCATTACATCGCACCCTGGAGTCAAAGAAAAACTGGAAAACAGTGGTAAGAATTCTTTTTAAATTACTATTTTTTTAATTGGTTTCCTAGCATCCAGAGTAAGAAAGGAAAATGAAACCTGAAAAAATTAGAAGATGAGCGATTACAAAAGCATGACCATTTAAAAAAACTTTGGACTACACCTTTTTGATGATTTCTTCATGTTAATCCATTATCGCAGGTAATAGAACGTGTAAACTATGTTCGAAAACACTTGCTTAATTAATGGCTACACATGGTTAGGGTTGCAATTGGATTTTAGCATTAGTTTAGTATTAGGGTTCTGGTTAGCCTTCAGTCTAGTGTATATACAAAAGTGACCGAAGAAAACATCAAAAAATTTGAATATGGTAGTAAATCGGTCTATTGCCACAGAAAGAAACGTTGTGCACTGAGAGGCGAAATTCAAATGTTTAGAAATTGTGTTTTGTTTCCATTACTGAGTCACACAGTGTGATGTTTAATTTAATTTAATTTTTATTTTCATGGTCTTTGTCCAAAGTTACAAACTGATAACAACATAACATACCTGCTTCCGAATAATCCAGAATATTCTGATTTTCTGGATTTTTAGGACCTGAAAATCCAGAATATTTCAATTTTTCTTTTTTTTTCTTTTTCTTTCTTTCTTTCTATTATTATTTTTTTTTAATATTTATTTCTTTATATTTTTATTTTTTGTGGTGCTAAAGCCAAATTAAGCTTGTTTTATCATGTGCCGCGATTTGAGAGTTCACGTATTGTGTGCGATGAATGGCTGCATAATCGAAAAGCGAATTTGTATTCGCTTTTTGGTACAGATTTACCGCGTATTGCCGGTTACACTGCCGCTGCAAGTGCGATTTCTTATTTTCGAAGGCATATCATGCTAAAAATTCCCAATTCTTATTTTTAAATGTTGGCAGGTATGACATAATCACAATAACGAACAAATTAAGTAACTATTTCATCATTAATGTAAAATACTTACATTGTAATAATAAATAACTCGCATAAAATAATCATGAATTGCCACATAAGCTAAGCTTGAATCCTTTATAAAAAGAGAACCGTGTATTTTCAGGTCTGTTCACCTACAGTGAGGACAGGGTTGTGCGAGACGGTAAACTGATCACGAGCCGAGGTCCAGGAACGGCATTTGAGTTTGCGCTGGCCATCGTGGAACAGCTCAAGGGACAGGAAACGGTCAACAAGATTATACCACCAATGCTCCTCAAAGTCTGAAAGGTATTGTTTGTGTTATTTCTCTCCTCTGCTTCTTCTTCTTCTTATGAATAAGCTGCCTCCTTCAATACTGAAGATTCTTGCAGATGTATATGGGGTGTGCAGGTGTAACACTTCACCAGGATGTCCCCCGACTCTTATTCAAATAGTGCGGGGGGTTCTTAACATGCAAAGGTGGTGACTCTCCTCTACACAGGGGCTCCATTTAACGTCTTATCCGAGGGACAGAGTGTTTTTCACATAACATAGCCTGCCTCTATGAAACAAGGGGAGGGGCAAGTTAACACACAATGCAGGCTTCAGTCATCCGCCTGTGTGGGATTCAAACCTGAGATCTTTGATCGACAGGCAGATGCTTTACCAGGTAGATGCTCATCTTGTTACCTCAATAATGAAAAAAGTGATATTAAAGGCAGGGTATTCTACCGACACTACTTCGGATTAATGTATACTGCCATCTGTTGCTCAAAATGTGCGATTGTGTCGATAGCCATGTCCCACAATGCATCACCAATTGTTGACGTGCGCGTGATGATGCTTGAGTATAGGGATGGGAAATTGCTCTATGTACGCCTTCACAGAAAGATGGCGCAATTGAAAATATATTACAGTAATGGTAGTGTTGTTGGTTGAATACCCTGTCTTTAATAATGATTTAAGTGGGGAGGGCTACTTGTAGGTCAAACTCTGTGTATAATTTTCACTTTCCCAAATTCTGTGCAGTATAACCTACTTACCTTGTTTTTATAGCAATAATTGCTCTTTCATATCTGGTGGCTTTTTGTGGAGCTTTTTGTATAAGAAAATTACTCATCCACCATCCACCTTCTAACCTCTCTTAAATGTAACACTGCTGCCCATAAAGTTGAAATAATTTTTGTTTCTTCAAAAATTTTCTCTTCAAATGATCATTGCAATATGTTTTTTTATTCCTAATAAAGATATCTTCACAAAACTTTATTGATCAATCTAAACAGTCATACAGATCAATTAATAAAGCTCTGAGAAGGTTTAAACTATATCTATTAGAAATAAAACATATTGTCACAATAGTTTCTCAAAAAGATATTTTTTAATTATTTCAACTTTATAGGCAACGGCGCCTTGGCGTCTCAAAATACTGTCCACGTTGTTACATATCATCTGTTTCTTTCATAGCAGAACCACAACGAGTCTGATTTGTAAGCGCTATGGTACCTATTGTTTTTAGCGCTCCTAAATATTCGATATTATTATTATTATTATTATTACCAGTTGGGGGAAGCGGCTGCCGGGACTTACATGAAGAAATACGCAACTCACACATCCAGAAAGCCCCAGCTAAGGCAAGTTTCTTGGGTGGTAATATGAAGCGATTAAATGAAAATGAAATATTCATCGCATGATCAAATAGTTTTCGTTCAGCTACGGTATGTAGACTTAAATTAGTTTATGTGGGGTTAAGTGTTTGACACATAGCTGTCCATAAATGACCCACTATTCAGACTGGCAAAATTAGTCGCCTAGCGGAATGAGATCTATGTATCTATATTTATATAATAAGTAATGTTTTTTCTGAACTTTGTTTGAGTCTGAACATCCCATAATGAAATGTTGTATAGCGAAATTGATATGTGAGCATTGTTTTTAAAAATAATTCATAAAGAACAGTGATCAGGTGCACGTCCTATCGTACAAATATCGTTTAACTCAGTAGTACTTATCATGAGTTTGTACTGATATCTATGAAAGCTGACACTTAACGTGTGCCAACACACTTCTTTTAGACTAGTTACTGTATTATGATGTTTCTTCATACAATAATGTTCATCTGCGTAGCCCCCTTTTGCTGTACAATGATTCTTTATCCAATGTTTCGCTATCAAGGCTTCAACTCCGTGCCTGTTGGTCATGTTAAAAACCTATTTTTCAAACACATTTACGAATACTTGCCAAGCTATGTGTAGCATGGTGGAATACACTGGGATTAAAGATGAGTGTGAACATGCTGAGTAGTGCATGCTTGAACTTGAAAGTAGCCGGGTTAAAAGCATTATGAGTCCTAGGGGATAGTTGATTGATAAATAAATGGCTTTGAGATAGACTATGTAGCTATGTAGGTGAAGGGACAAGGGAAAAAGAGTAGAGAAATAGGTCGGGTGGGGTTAAGAATGATAAATATACCTTGGACAACAGATTTGTTTTTGATAGAATTTAGTTAGGTGTTTGTGAAAATGGTGAATGATAACAGAGTCGTTGTATTAGTAGTTAATTGATACTCTAGAGCCTGAGCTGTCACTGGTATCTCGAGAATATTCCAACGAGTGAATCCAGCATACCCACGCTAAAAAGTATAAGGACTTCCCCTTCATTTCACCAATCAGGAATAGAAACAGGTAAAAAGTTTGTTAGAGTTTTGGAATAGAAAGTTTGGACCAATGAAATAAGTTTTTGCCCTGTCCATTAAGAAGTCGACAGTGGTGGGAGATCAGGTGACCAAAAAGTATTATGGGATGGAAAAACAAAGGAAATTAATAAGGAATTTGTTGGACTCGAGGTGCGAGCTAGACAGCAGATTGGTGTGTTAATTGAGTATAAAAAGACCCAATCCTCCCTTCCCTACACACTTGCATCCCTGGACCCCAAGCATTTGCCACCCCTCTCCTTCCACCCTAAGTTTAATTCAGCCACCACGCACATTTTGAGATCCCCGACTTGTACTAATTAAAGCTTCGTCCACGGAACATTTTGAAAGTTGCTGAACTTCATCTTCTTGTCGCTGTTTGCTGACGATAATAGAAAGGAACTGAAACAACAAATAGTAATACTGAACCTCGCCCGTCTCCAGTAAAGAGAACACTTCCAACCCAGAATAATAGAAAGAGACAAAGGAGACCGCTGATTTGTGCTCGTATTTGAGAAAGTCAACGATTTCGACGTCACAAGGACCGGAGACGAGCACACACCTTTAAGACCCTCCGACGCCCCTAGGACATCGAGAGGAAATTTCAAGTCTGCTATGCCCCGACACGAGTGCGACGAGTCGAGAGACCGGAACAAGAAAGAGCTAAGTCGACCCGTCCCCCAATTAAAAAGGCCTATAAAGTTATCGATCGATCAAAGACTCTAAAAGTCCCAGTAAGTCACTAATACTTTAAGTGAGTGATTGTCGATGTGGATGCGTAAACGAGCTCAATTAATTAAGTAATTAGGTAAGGGATAAACACTTAAGAAACACGACACAAGAAATTGTAACCTTTTCTCGAATAAACGACCAAGTGAAATTGTAATTGAAACTGTTTAAATGTGTATTAATTTATGTGGTGGTCTCGTGGGTTTTAACGAACACCCCCACCTCGGCCGCGGTGAGATGGTGCTCTCCGACTTGAGTTAACTAACCTAAACAAAAACAATTTCCCGAAACCATAGAATCGCCGCTGCCGAGGGGTCGTGGGGCGTTAGATTTGTTTGTAAAGTTCATCAGGCTTATAAGTAGAAGGCATCATAGTTTTTATTAGTCAAATCTATTAATCTAATGGTATTGCCATATTTTTTTTTTTTTAAATATTTATTTCATTTTTTATTACATTTATTTATTTATTTATCTATATTTTTTAAAATAAAACTGGTTAATGATTCAACAAATTCCCCATGTAGGCTGTCCTGAAATATTGCTCCTTCTGTACTTGCGTATTATACTATTATCATCATGTTAAAGAGGACTGAAATATCCAGATTTAAGATAAGATGATAATTGAAAGAAAAGTCTCTCAATTCAAAGCAAACTATTGCATAAACTTACCATTTACAATGGAGTTGGTAAGACTAATTTCTATTTTTTGAATTAAATTTGTTACAATTGACAAGAAAGTGAGGAGTTATTTCCAAATTAGGATGAAATCTGATCTATTGAAGCTCATAAAATATTGTTTGAAGTGATTGCCAGGCATGCTGAGAGCAGTACTGGATAAAATTGAAAAAATAAAGAGATATGTAAACATGAAATGTTTCTCCTTGTAAAGGAGATTTGTATTAAATTATTTTACAAAATAAGAATAATTGTTTTCTTGTTGTCTTTTATTCCTTTGTTTTGATTCAATCGCATTAGCATAATTTTAAAGGATAGTAATGTTGTAAAATGTTATTTGTTTAAGTCCGATATCACTCTTACAATGGTTTTATATTGATAACTAACCAGTCCTGTCACTAACAAAGAAATATATAAATAATCATTAAAGATCACTTAATTCTTTTATTTGGTTGTATGACAAGTGCTGGCAGCAATGGTCTGGTTTACTCACATATTCAAATTTATGGATGTTTCTTTCCTGGGGACCTAGTGACAAGGTATTCCATTAAACTCTTTACTATAACTGGAATCTGGAATGCATTACTTGTTGCTATGTCAGGCCAGCCTCAGACAAAAATTTGGGTTGTCAGCAACAACCTTTCTTTAAACAGTATGCGTAAATTTGGATATGTTAGTAAAAAGGTCTATTGTTTAATCTACATTAACCAAATACCTAACTTCAATACTGTACCAAACACTCTAAATAACCCTATCCCTATAAATGATGCACCACGCGTTACCCCGGGGTACCGTAGTACCCCGGGGTACCGCGTTGTGTAGCGCCATCTCGCGTCCACTCGAGTAAAATGTATGGAGTGCGTGTACATAGTTCCGTGGTATCTCTATGGTGTATACTATGCATAGTGTGCATGCATGCACTGCTCGCGCTATAGCGCTCGCTCACGATCACAAGCGCACTACGGTGGCTATCGCACACTATAGTGCTAGCTAGCTCCGGCGTCCGGTCCCGACCCGCGGCTATTTTAGAACTTGATGTTATTGCACGTACGTACCGTACCTGTATACTCTTTCGAAAAAAAAACAACAAACAAACATCGCATCATCGACGTAGTTAACGCGCGCGTTACTGTCAAACTTTCAAACTTTGAAAATGCCATGGGCGGAAGGTGATGGTGGATACGGGGATTTACTGAAAGGGAAAGGACGTAAAAGACGGAAGATTACAAGGGCCGAGAAAGTTGAAAGAGCTCGATCTCGTGCTGTTGAGAAGTTGGGGGAGGAGAAGGCCGCTGATGTGGTAGCGGTGTTTAGGAGGGCGAGTGACGGGGGAGACAAGGAGCAGGCTGATGGTGTTATTTTGACCCTGCTGGCCCAAGCCCTCTCGCAAATCGAAGTCGTAGCCCTACTTCATGTTGGGGGCTATAGAGTTGCTAGACTTGCAAGGTATGACCCTGAGGAGGAGGAGCTACGAAAACAACGAAAATAACAGCATGAAATGATATCAATAATAGAATAATTACTCATAACAACAATGAATTTTAGAAATACAGGACTTAAAGGATTTTTTACAAGAACATTGGACACAATTGAAGGTTGAAAAAATCACACAAAAATAATTTCCCACTTTTTGGTAACCCAGGGTACAGCCTTAAAAAAAAAAATAATAATTCAACAAAATGGCCGAATTTTTTTTGGTACCCCAGGGTACCATTTATGTCATCAAATAAACAAACTCAATTGCAACCCTTTAAAACCCTACATCTTAAATGCCTGGAGCAAAGTTCAGCACACCATTTCCATTAAGAAAATCTGAAACGATATCAGTAAACTCATTCTTTAAAATAATAAATGACATATAGGGGAAGCAATGTTATACAACTGTTTTTGAAGAAAGCTGTAAGAAGGTAATGTATGCTGTTCAGTCAAAAAGTAAAGCAGAAGTTTTATGAGAATACAGATTGAAAAATTGGAAGAGCTCCCTCTTGTGAAAAGTTCTAGAGAGTATTTTTCTCTTTGAGAAATGAATGAACTGAACATGGGCCAATTTTGATTCAGGTGAAATTAGTATATATATCACACTTCTCTTTTAAGGAAAGAACTTTACAGTGTCAATTTAAGAGAATTGTCTACATCATATTTGAGAAATTAGTCTGAAATCTTTAAATTGTATGTTCACTACAATCTTTTTAGATGTTGCAGAACAAATTGCAAAACAAAACTTCAATTTGTGTTGTTGTTGTATTCTCTTGAAGGAGTTGATAAAGGGGTAGTTCTTTTTCGTGATAGGGATATGCAAAACTGTTGCCAGTAATATGTCTAAAGTGCAGAACAGATATTTAATATTGCCTTCAAATAAAAGAGGAATATATTTCCTACAATTTTATCATGTGAGAACCAATAGGTGGGTTATTTTTCCTGTTGGTGATATTTCTACTCGTATAGCTCCCCCTTGTGGTTAGAAACATGCAGTTGTTTTGGTAGCCTGTAGCTCCCTGAAATAAGTTTACGTTAAGGGAGTCCTCCCCCCCCCCCCCATTAATTAAGATGTGTCATATTGAGTCTTGAAGTATGTAGTAGACTAATTCTCACTATCACCATGTTGTAGTGGCTTAAAGGTAAAGACCAGTTATGGTCATGCGATTGCATTGTGAAAGAAACGTTGTGGAATCGATCAGAAAAGGTTGATCATCTAGCATCTAGCATCTGCAAGGTTCTGGAATCATCAAAATGATAAGAAATTTGGCCCATTCTTCATAAAGTTACAAGCACTATACACAGAAAGATGTATATGGGACTACCCTATATCTCTCACAGACCATGAGAGAAACAAATTTACCAAATATATGAATTAGTAGGCGGTTTCCCGGCAAATTTTTTATCATCATGTATTAGTCAAAACATATTCTTTCACATGATTGGTAATGAGAGCTTCCATTTCATTTTTCTGAAATTGGGGCGTTTCCAATACTGGTCTTTACCTTTAATTAAACACAATTTTATTGAGAATGGGTTGGGGGAACCCCCTTGCTGAATTGCGTGTTATCATTGTACTTAGGCTCTCAATTAAATGGAGTAAGGTCCTACACTTGTGATTAATTGGAATAGCTGCAGGAAATTTCTTAGCCTTTATTTGTTGTGAAATGTGCTATATAATCCCATGTATTATTCATGTTCCATAATTATATTACGTATGGCACATAAATGTAAAATTATGTGCAAGCATAAATATATACCTTGTATTAATCTTAATCATCAAAGCATTTCCGGTTATTAATGATATTGGAGACATTCCTAAGTGGCTCTGATGGGCGGGAAATAATGTGATGACGTCCATCCATACAATTAATACAACTCATTAATGTCACAAGTGATGTTCCTGATCATTAGGGAAACCCCTACTGTGATAATCACTCGTTATAAAGGGAATTAATCTTCCAGATAACTATTCTATGTCATGGTTTGGATAAGATCCAAATAGTATTAGATTGCACATGCATGGAGATACATGAACGTAATTCCTCTTGTTTTGCTCATAATTTCCTAGTAGATGACCCTGTCATTACACTTTTAGAAATATTGTTGTGGTACCCTTTGACGTATATGCTTTGATTTTTTTTATTCTCGGAGATAAATTACCTTTTTTTGAAAGTATACACATATGGCTTCTGATAGGTTAAGGCATTGACTTTATCCATGGGTGAGG